CTTTAGCTGTTTTAGTCCTTTCCCGAGAGCTTCCTCTGCCATTGTTGTTGGTTGCTGGTACTTGTTTTGACAGCCTCCTTGAGTTCAGGCGTTTAAACCACGTCTCCAATGCGACCTGTTTTCAACTGTCAAGTTATATATGGTTTCTAGCTTCAGCTCCTCCCCAAACTTGAAATACAGCTGGTCCTCACCAAGAAGGACACTAGGCACAGCTCTAATCCTTTTCCATTGTTATTATTTGGGATCTAGGATTGGGATTTAGGCTGAACTCAAACATTTTCTCTGTGGCTCACCCACAGGGGTGTGCTGTGTTTTAATCATTAAGACTTATTTTCAAGCCTCAGGAAAGACAGAGCATCTAACAGTCATTTGTGGCAAACAATCAGGCTGATTGTCCAGTAAACAGCATCTATTCTCCAAAAACATCCTGAGCCTTTACTTAAGAATTTAAAAGCATCCTGATGATTCAAGTCTTTCCCATGCAGAAAGTAAAAACAATATGTTTTTATGGGAACCATACAATAAATCTAGACAGTCAAGCATCATGTTATCTTATATGCATGACTGCATATAAACATGTCAAAGACATAAAGAAGAGGGAAGATTTGGAAACATTCTGATCATTCCCATAGCATCTGTATCCATAACCTCAGGTCTTCTGTGCAATAGCCAGAGGTTCAGATCATAAAAACAACGCCATGGAGCTGCAGTGCTTCAACTACCAACCAGATCCAGATGTCGAGCCTGATCAGCGATGCACAGGCAGATATTTCTGGATGATCCTGAATTGGTCCACAAGCTCCAAGCAAACTTCTCTCTTAGTTTTTATTGGATTAAAACGCATACCTGTATTTCACATAAATCATATCAACACATGTTGCTTAATAGCTGATGTATTTTTTGGATTACTATTCCAAACTCTGTCAACTCTGATAAGATTCATTGGGAAAACAGAATGATATTCAGTGTAGAATAATTTAAATGTCTTCACATGGAAAATTTTCACTATGGCAAGTCTAAACACAAACTTAGTGTAATGTCTTTTTACCGGAAACCAAATTTAACTGCCCAGACACATCCTAAATGTAACCTGTAACGTCATATTTAAACTTTGCATTGCCAAGAAAATGTGTCATGTGAGCATATTTAATGTGGTAAAGACTTAGACAGATTTGTCATTCTGTTTACACCAGTGTTAAACAAAAACAAATTTGGTTTGAAATAGCTCTCTGGACAATATAATCTTTTTTTTTAAAGTGCAGCCTTGAAAAAAAAAATAAAAATAATATATATATATATATATATATATATATATATATATATATATATATATATATATATATATATATATATATATATATATATATATATATATATATATATATATATATGTATATATATGTATATATATATAAACAGTAATATAAACATATGACTGTAAATTTACAGTTCAAACATTTAAAAGAAAATGTATATAATAAATATAATAAAATACAATACATCCATCCCTTTTCTAACACGCTTATCCCGAGTGGGGTCGTAAAGGGTGCTGGTGCCTATCTCCAGCTGTCTACGGGCGAGAGGCGGGGTACACCCTGGACAGGTGGCCAGTCTATCGCAGAAATACATTACAATAACCCATTTTACAAAACATTTAGCAGTCTAATGGCAGTGGGGAAGAAACTGCCCCCGGTGATCTTCTCTGCTGTCCTAACCACTCTTCTCCCTTCTTCCAGTCTGAGACGCTGCAGCCTCCACACCCCACAGTGAGACAGCTGGTCAGAACGCTCTCTATTGTGCTTCTGTAGAAGGTGGTGAGGATGGGTAGGCGCAGGTGGGCTCTTCTCATCCTCCTCAAGAAGCACAGGCGCTTCTGTGCTCTTTTGACCAGTGAGGTGGTGTTTACAGTCCAGGTGAGGGTGTCTGTGATGTGCACCCTCAGGAATTTGGTGCTGCTGACCACCTCTACAGCTGGGCTGTAGATGACCAGTGGTTAGGCCGGTTCTTCCTGAAGTCCAAGATGATCTCCTTCGTCTTCTTCACGTTCAGGATCAGGCTGTTATCTTTGCACCAGTCCACCAGCTGCTATACCTCCTCTCTGTAGTCCAGGTCATTGTCATCACTGATGAGGCCCACCACCATGGTGTCTTCTGCAAACTTCACAATGTGATTGGTGGTAAACCTGGGGACACCATCATGTGTCACAGGGTGAACAGCAGGGGGCTCAGGACGCAGCCTTGAGGGGAGCCTGTGCTTAAACTGATGACATCAGAGGTGTTCTTTCCAACCTGGAGTGACTGAGGTCTGTTGATGAGGAAGTCTAGCAGCCTATTGGAGAGGGGTGTATTCAAGAACAGCTGTTCCAGTTTGCCCATCAGATGCTGTGGTATGATGGTGTTGAAAGCTGAACTGAAGTCCAGGAACAGCATCCGCATGTGGGTGTTCTTCTCCTCCAAGTGTGTCAGGCTCAGGTGGAGAGCAGCAGAGATGGCGTCCTCAGTGGAGCGGTTGGTTCAATAGGCAAACTGGAACAGGTTGAATGTTGGCGGCAGACTGGAGACGATGTGTTCTTTAAACAGCCTTTCGAAGCACTTTATTATGATTGGAGTCAGTGCGACAGGCCGCTAATCATTGAGTGAGGTTACCTGAGGCTTCTTTGGGACTAGAATAATGGTGGCCAACTTGAAGCATGCCGGCACTATGGATTGGTCCAGCAAGGTGTTAAGAATGTCTGTCAGGACACCAGCCAACTGATCTGCACACTCCTTATACACCCGCCCAGGTATGTTATCAGGCCCTGGGGCCTTCCTTGGGTTGACTCTCCTCAGAGTTTTCCTCACTTCAGCCACATCCAGGTTTAGTGCCTCCTCCCCCTGGTGTGGAACAGCTCTCACTGCTGGAGTGCTGTTTAGTGCCTCAAGCCTTCATTTAGGAAGTCAGTGTCTGCTGCATCAACCGGGGGAGAGGGTGTGTTGTAGCCCGTGATCATTTGAATGTCTTTCCACCTCTTCTTGGTGTTGCTATCATCGTGGAAAAGATCCTGGATCTTTTTAAGTCTACTCTTAGTGCCTCTTTATCACCAGACTTGAAAGCTGAGTCCAGTGCTTTTAGCGATTTCCTAACCTCTCCATTCATCCAGGGTTGTTGGTTGGTCCGGATGGTGATGTTCTTTTTGATGCTGACGTCCTCAATGCATTTGTTAATGTAGGCTGACACAGTCATGGCATACTCATCAGTATTTAATGTTATTATATGTTGCTGCAGCCTTGAAGATGTTCCAGTCAGAGCATTCAAAACAGTCTTGGAGTGTCTTCATGGCGCCCTCAGACCACACTCTGATCCCTTTAACTGTTGGTTTAGCCCTGATCAGCTGGGGCTTATATGCAGGGATAAGCATGACTGAGAGATGATCTGATGACCCGAGGTGGGGGCGGAGGGCTGCTCTGAATGCTTTTTTGATGTTAGAGTAAACCAGGTCTAAAGTGTTTTCACCCTGAGTTACAAAGTCCAGACGTTGGTAAAAATGAGGGAGAACAGTTTTCAGGTTAGCCTGGTTAAAATCCCCAGCAATGATGAAAACACCCTCTGTGTGTGCAGACTGGAGCTCAGAGAGAGCCTGGTGTAGAGTCTTCATGGCCTCTTTAGTGTTAGAGCTGGGGGGCAGGTAAACAGCAGTGATGCTAACCACACTGAACTCTCTGGGCAGATAGAACGGCCTGGAGTTAACAGTCAGAAACTCGATGTCTGGTGAGCAGAAGCTGGCGACTGATCTAGCATTTTTACACCAGTTGTTATATATGTAAACCCAGAGCCCACCAGCCCGAGTATTACCGCTTGGTTCTTTGTTCCTATCTCCGCGGTATAGCGTGAGCCTCTCCAGGCTAATAGCATTGTCCGGTATTGCTTGATTCAGCCAAGACTCCTTCAGAATGATGGCGCAGCAGTTACAGATATCCTTTCTTAAAGACAGTTCCAGTCGGAGATTATCCATTTTGTTATCCAACGAGCGGACATTGAAGAGCAGGGTTGATGGAAGCAGAGGTCTGTGGGGATTTCTCTTTAGCTTCGCAGTTAGCCCCCCTCTGCAACCTCGCTTTCTCCATCTCACACATCTCTTCCTCCGGCAGCTCCGCTGTTGTTTTGTCTACATGCGTCCGTAGCACTCTTCAGCTTTTCAAATGGTCAAAAATGTCTGGATTTAAAATATTTAGTGACCGTAGCTCCAGCAGGCGTTAGCGATCATAGATGCGGGTTTGATGTCTAGTCTATATTGTATTAAGCGGCATGTTATGTGAAAATGTTTATATATTATGTGAAAAAAAAATGGTTTAAATAAAATCATCCCTAAAAACAGCCCTCTTTAGCCGGGTCCCTTAAATAAAATTCGGCAGAACCAATTCCCTTTAAAAGTTATTTATTTAGTAAATAGTCATGTTTGTGTAATTTCACATCATTTTGAATATAACCAATTATTTTTAGGACAGGAGTGAACCTACCCACAGAATTCGCAGCTTTAAAGGCAGGAAAAGATAATTACGCAAAGCATTAAAACTAGTCAAAGTGGTGGCAGAGAATGTGCGGTTTATCATGTTAAACTATCAACAGCCCCCCCCCTTGTGGGGACCAGTTGTTGGTCCCCACAAGTACCTATGAGTCCCCAAAATGTAGCATATTCCTAGGAAATTGTCCCCACCAGGTATTAAAGACATGGCCACACACACACACACCCACCCGTCAAGCTGTCTAGTTTGGTGTTGTGATTGATAAATGAGGTCCTTAGTGTATAATTCAAAATAATTCAGTTACATCAGGTATGAGTCAGTAAATTCTATTGAAAAAAGAAAGCAAAGTTTAGTCATATTTCTCCTGTATTCTGATGGTGTTTCCCACTTAATGCCCGGCTGCTTATGTAATTCATCTCTCAATGCAGTGGGATGGCTCGAGTTTCTAGCTTCACCTCCATTCATTTGCTTACCATTTTCATTTTTTCCTGACTGTCTGGGAGAGAAGAGAGAGTAAACTTATCCTCTGTAAGCATGCAAAGCATCAGTGACACCATGTGCCTCCCCTTAGTTTTTCTGCTGCTGGTTCCTGTGCAAGTAAGTTGGATTTTTTTATTTTACTTATCAGTAAGTTTACAAGTTAAAACATTTTTAATGATTTACTACTATTAACTTTCTAAATATTCTAGAAGTGTTATGTGTAACACAAAAGTTTTCATTGTGATGGATTTTTTATGCTGCATGGAGTTTCTGCAGGAAGACCTATTCTGCATGTGCCAACACATTTACTGAGATGTTTACAATTTGATCAGATTTTTTTTCCAAAAGCTGTATTTTTGAGCATGGTGGGCAGGTACAAAATCCCCAAATCAATTGGCTTAAGCCAGAAGTCTACAGTCAAATGGGGCCCTTAAGGGCCAGCATGGCTTCTAAATAACTTTGCTGTTATTAAGGATATAAAATTAGAAAGAATTGATCGATTTTTCAAGGTATAAAACTGTTTAAAACAGCTAATTTAAAACTAATTTGTATATTTTTAGTCAATTTCACCATTGAATTTCAGCAAAAGAATTATACTGTTTTTTTTCTCTTTCACGGTTTTTTGGGTTAGGAACTGTCCTGTTTTTTCTTCTTCTCCTACATATTTCACTTTAAGGCAGTATTGTTTTGTTTTTTTTGTTTTTTTAAAAGTAAGATACATTTTTTTCTCCTATAGCTTAAATAGAAAAAAAAAAGATGTAATTGTAGAATCAACCATCCCTTTACAACGGCTGTCTGAGAGCCAATGAATAGTATCCAGAGAATGAAGCCTTTGAGAAATACACATTTATTATAGAAATACACATCTAAGTGGGATATAAGTCATTTTGGCCTTCAAGTTTATCAGCTTTTAAGTATTACATTTGCTCACCACTAGAGGAAGCTGTGTAACTACTAAATGAGATTCTTCTGGTTCCATTTACTGGATGTTTACTAATCCTAATACTAGTTTGCAGAAATGAAAAGAAACAAAATATGTATCTTATGGTTAAAGGATTTATTTGTTTCTTTATTTTTATTTCCAATTAGATGACAAACATTATGGACAATGAAAGGCCGAGGGGTAAGTTTAAAAAAAAAAAATCTAAATGAAGAATTTGTTTGTTTTTCCACATATTATTGATATAAGGGAGTAAATTAGTTTGAACATTCTTTATAATTTCCTACACACTATATTTGTTTTAACAGTAGGTATGTTTTTGTTTCTACTCATCAAACAGTTTTAGTTGAAAAAAGCATATTTGTTGTATTCTATATTTGGAATTCACACCTTTTACACTGAACCCTTTTTATGTAGTGGTTAGAAAACTGGAGGTGCTAACAAAGGCTGAGTGCAAACCAGTTGAGAAGCTTGTGAATTTGAAGGAGAAGTTGTCTGATTACGTAAATCACATCTACGTACCTTCATGTGTCCCACTGTTTCACTGCTCTGGCTGTGCTGCTGATGAGGCTTTGGAGTGCTATCCTACAGCGGAACGCAACGTCACCATAGAGGTCAGACAAGATCAAGACTGCTTTCAATACCCATCTTGATAACAGGAAACTTTCTGCCTTTTTAATTTAACCTTGATCTTTCCCCCCGCTCATGTCTGCAGGTAGAACGGTCTCGTCAGTTAATAAACATCACCTTTGTGGAGCATCAGGCATGTGGATTTAGGTAGACTAACATTATACATTTCCTAGAAACACCTGATGCAATTCCATTGTTGTAATTATATGGCGATAATGTTACAATCTCCTTTTTAGGAAGATAGAGAAAAATAAAAACAATACAACACAAGGTAAGTAAAATCAACATTTTATCTTTGGGGTCTTAGACTTAGACTAATTTATTAATCTCACCAGGGGCAATTCATTTCAGCTAGACAAACAAACAAGAATAAAAATGCAATAACATTAAAAGAATTACAAATAATGTGACAGGGAGCTTAAGGACCAACATTAATTATAAAAAACGAAAAACACAGAAAGATAGTAAAAAGTACTTATCTATATCTTAATTGGTCTTTGCTCTTCCAGGAGGGACAAGTGCACCAGGGACAGACGTTCAAAGGATAAAGCTCAGAAGGAAAAGAAGAAAATGTAAAAAGTCAAACTGAATTTTCTCTTCTGTTGAAGAGGTGTTTTAAAGTGCAAATTTAAAGTTGCATCTATCATTTTTTTTCTTACTCTTTGCCTGATAAGAATAAAGAAAAGATTAAATGTTATGATAAAATAGAATTGTCTACCATATTGCTTATCTCCTCTGTAGACCTTCAGTCCAAAAGGCTGCTGGTGAGCCATTTCTGGAAGGTCACAGAAAGTTTGATAGTCTAAACCAAGGAAGAAATAACTAAAAAAATTTTTGCAGCAGATGATGAGATATTTCAGGGTTTTGTCCTGAGGGGTAACTTGATTTTTGCATACTTTCTGTTTTTTCTTTAGCAATCAAGCAAAGGTCCATGTGTTTTCTGTAAAGTGATTCTTTCTATTTGACATTCCTGCTGTTTGTGAGGCCAGAAAATAAACTTTTTTGTGATATCTGATTTCCATGATCCAGGAACCACATGCAGGATTTAGAAGACAGCAATCAATACAATAAGTACAACAAATTTATAATATCAGCAGCTACTAAACATAAAAAATAAAGGATATGCCACCAGCATAAATGATGGGACTTCCCATAATATTTGGCTACATGTTCCTCTTGCAGCTTGCATTTAGTAGAGCATTCTTCAGCTTTAAAAACCTCTTCCTGTCATTGTGGCTAAGTGGTTTAATCTGCGCTTCTTCTGAGAAAACTTTTCCCAAAAAAAGACTTTTGGGTTAACTAAGTGGGTCACTGAACATTTTGGTCAAGTTATCGGAAATACAATGTGGAGAGCACTGAAAGAGAGGAACTACTTGCTCATTAGGAACTACGTTTTAAGAAAAAAACTGTAGGTAATAGATTGATTTATTCATTGATTCATTGACTTTATTGATCTCACAATGGAGAAATGTACACATTACATCGGCTCAATGGTCAGATTGGCAAGAGTGCAGAAAAATACCAATCCTCCTTATTAGAGTATATTCAAAAGTAGCTATTAAATTACTTATTATTTCACATTTAAAAAGAATAATCACACAAAGTGACACTTTAATAAGAAGTCCTTTTGTGGGATCATTCTTATCAACAGGCTGCAAGAAAACCAGTGTAAGGGGAATAAGGCCATCCATGTTGGCCTCTAAATGATGTTGGCGTCAAGATCCAGTTTAGCTTAAATTAAAGGTATAGTTTAGGATTTTCGCGTGATAAAAAAAAAATGCACATGCAAAACCCTGTGCCCGCCTATTACCGTAAACGTGTATGAGAGCGTGCACGAGCCCATTTATCTCCATGCACTCTCTGTTTAAAAGTTGCTGTTTGCATTGCTCATGCAAGCTTACGTTCTAAAAGAAGATTTGCAATTTTTCCACTGTCAGCTTCACAAAAAGTAAGTGAAAATGGGGACGAGTACTTAGGATGGCTTGACGTAAACATATCACCAGCATGATCGATAATTAGGAGGACCTCGTATTTAGAAGATCCACCCGGAAAAAGAACATTCTCCACTATACCGTTAAGTCTAAAAGAAACAAGACTGATTAAACATGCAGTGTAACATTCTCCAATCAGCAGAGCTAGTGTGTGATAAACACTCAAATAAAACATGTGTTTTCTGGTATTTTTAGCCAGCTTCATACTGTAACCATTGTTATGAAATTCTCCATTGTCATGAAGATCAGATTGCAGCCTTTTGTTGGTAAGTGGCCTAAATAGATACTATCTGCATCTGTCTTACTATGTGGGGAACAAGAGGGAATCAGTGAAATCTTGATCGACAGCTTGCAGCACTGCCTTTAGGGTATTATGAGCTTCTCTGCTTCAAAAAGAGGAATACGGCAGCAGAGAGCGCGACATGCGTTTTTCAAATCACTTCAACTAGAAGTTGCCTATTTTGGGGTTCAGTTCACTGACAGAGTAGTGTTGCTTTCAACAGTCTGCTGGTTTCCAAGAAAGCATGTCCTCCATTCTCCTACTATATTATTCATTCATCTATGTTTTTGTTCGCTCTACCTAGAGTGGTTAATGTCTTGCAGTCATCAAACCAAGAAGGCATTTTTTTCTTCTGCAAAATTCCTGTTTTTATTAATTAAAGGAAATGGATCAGATTTTGATCCTGGCACTATTTGTTTTGAAACAAAGTCTGCTCAGTTTTTACCTGCTTTTATTTGAGATTTTGACAATGTACATAAATAAAATCACCTTTAATACAGAGGTATCTTGATTAAAGCAACAAGCTGTGACAGAAATTCAGTAATTGATGTATAATCAATGATGCATTCATTGTGAGTTCTGTAAATAAAATGTATGTAATGTATGTTTCTGGCTCAGTTGTGTAGTCCACTGTTGCACACACTGCAAATAGTTAATTAACCCTTTATTTTTGTATGATACTGCATTTTATAGATAGTGCATACATACATATGTGGCATTTTTTTTTTTTTTGCTATTTTATGTGATACACAGAGTGGAGCTTACATGTAAAAGCTGATAGAAAGAATGCAAAAAATTTTAGACATTTATAAAAAGAGAAGATTCTTACCTGTTCAACACTTATAGGGAAAAGAAATCTTTTTTTGGCAAAATAACTCAAATTTGGTCAGAATTAGCAAGTAACTATAATCGTCAAAGACCTTCAGCATATTCTGCATAAATTTAGGTTAGATTTAGTAAAGATTTAAACTTTGAGATCAATTTTTTTGTGGATTTCAAGTCTTTTGAACCCAGCTATATTTTCTTTTTGTTTTTTCACTTTTTGTTTGTTTTTTTGGCTAGCATCATTTTATGCCATTTTGACATAAAGTGTTTGACATATAAGCTTAAACCTTTAGGTGTGGTCTTGTCCGATTGGAACCATGCCAGATGTTTGCTATGTTTGAATATACTTAATGCCTAATTACTTTCAACAGTAGTTGTCTTCCAGACTCTTATAAAATCGGATACATGGAGCACAACTCATTTTTGTCCTCTCAGCTGATTCGACCACCTGAGTTGTAGATTTCTATGAGCCTCTTTGATGTTTCGACAGAAGGCCGCTCACACTGAGCCTGGTTCTGCTGGAGGTTTCTTCCTGTTAAAAGGGAGGTTTTCCTCTCCACTGTCGCTACAAGCATGCTTAGTGTGAGGGATTGCCTTCGATCATCTGGTTTTCCTTAGATAGAAAACTTTGAATCAGTTTGACTGTATGATTTGGTAAATTGTCTCTGTAAAGAGCAGTGAGATGACATGTGTTGTGAATTAGCACTGTATAAACAAACTGAATTGAATTGTTTCTCAGTCTACCCCTTGCTCAGTTGGACCATTTGTCCATAGGTTTACAGTTGTGCCACGCTGTTCTTTTTTTATTTGTACCTGATCAATAAAACAGTGGTCTGTGAGATTCTCAAAGCTTAAAATACTGCTTTAAAACTCGCTCCTTCTTTAAACTTCTCCCTAACTTCAACCCTGACCCTTTTTTAGGCCTATAAAGAATAAAAATTATACTTTGCTTAAATTGTGATGTGAAATGTGACCAAATGTTACTACATCAATGGGTGTAAATACTTTGGTGAAGCACTGTTGCCATGCAATTGCATTTGTCAAACATGAAAGATATTAGTCTGGTTATAAATCATCATCGACTTTGCTGCATGATTACAATAACCTTGGTGGTACTCATTAGCACGTCTTACTCTGTCCATTATCCAATTTTTATTGTTCCAAATTTGGCAACAGCCTTCCTGCAGTGGTTATGCTTCTCCCGAAAGGGTTCAGATATATAAGTATACGTGCATCATTTAACTATAAAATAGTAAACTTATCCTCAGCATGAAGGTATGCATAAATATTAGGATAGGAGCAGCATGCATGCACGTGTTCACTTATTGTTTTTAAGGGCAGAGTAGGGCAGAGCTTTGTTTACACTGAATTGCTGCAGAGAAGACAAGTAGCGCTTAATTGAGCTGTGGGCCAAACATTTATGTAATACACTAGACTCTCCAACGTCACTATGCTCTATGTTGCCTGCGTTCTGCACAGTTTAGTCCTAATGGCAAGACAAACGCATAGTCCTTAACCTGCCACACACTAGGCAGCGGTCACGTTTTTCAGCTGCTGGCGGCCTTGGCCAATCAGATACCAGGAATGTGGTCACATGGGAAGGGGCGGTAGACAAAACAGTGAGACGTAGGGGATACTCCTGACATGACCACGCCCCCAACTACCAAATAAGGTACGTCAGCTGAAATAACTATATAGTTTCTTTCCGCTGTGGGGTTGAGATACAGATAAAATGTGAATTAAAGTGTCGAAAACTACTAACTATTGTAAAAAAATATAACTTTGAAGCAAATGGGACAATTAGAGAGCAAGTCTTGTCGAATGTCACCACCGTGCTCCGCATGTGAGCCTGCGGGCAGGGAGGAGGGGCGCTGGGTCCCGTGTCCTGCACCGTGGGACAGCCCCACGCAGACAGTGGAGCAGGGCGCAGCCGTTAACAACCACACAGAGGGGGAGAAAAAAAGTCAGCCGTAACCTCAACTCGAATGAAGCCTGCTTTTTATATCACCTCACCGGAACAACATCTCGATTTAAAGTAGGTGTGTTATTTTGGTTTGATCGTTTATATTTTATTTAGCTTTGGTAGAATTGAGTCCGTCTCTTATTAGCATTGCTTAGCGTTTATGCTGTTAGCTGTAGCCAAACTACAGCCTTGACAGGAAAAATAAATAATACTTTAGTTTTTTTCGCTTCTTTAGATAAAATTAAAAAAAATCACCGACACAGAGAGATAGCACATGTTTATTTAGTTATTTAAATGTGGTTTTCTGCAAGTGTTTACAGTTAACCGCTGACAGGCCTAGCCAAACTACCGTCAACTTGTATCCAGTTTTCTACGTAGACATCGGTTTACACAAAATTACTCAAATTTATAGATTAGATTAGGGTCCAGTTAATCTAGCATAAACACAGCATACCCTACCTTAGGACTGCCTTTTTACATGTTGCCAAAATAACTCAAATGTGGTCAGAATTAGCAAGTAACTATACTCGTCAAAGACTTTCTGCATATTCTTAGTTTGGATTAAAGATTTAGTTAAGATTTAAACTTTGACTTGACCATTCTAAATGAATATTATCCTTTAATCTACTCAATATGTTTCCTCCTTCCCTGTAGATCAAATTTTCACGGAGTTTCAAGTCTTTTGAACCCAGATATAGTTTTTTTTTTTCTCACTTTTTTGTTTGTTTTTGACCAGGATCATTTTATGCCAATTTGATCTCAATGGTTGTTCAGTGTTTGCAAAGTGTTTGCCATATAAGCTTAAAAGTCAGGTGTGGTCTTGTCTTATTAGAACCATGCCAGATGTTTGCTATGTTTGAATTAACTTAATACCTAATTACTTCTCATAAAATCAGATACATGGAGCACCACTCATATTTGTCCTCTCAGCTGATTCGACCACCTGAGTTTTAGATCTCTATGAGCCTCTTGGATGTTTCGACAGATTGCCACTGACACTGAGCCTGGTTCTGCTGGAGGTTTCTTCCTGTTAAAAGGGAGTTTTTCCTTTCCACTGTCGCTATAAGCATGTTCGGTGTGAGGGATTGCCTTTGAGTCAATGAGTCGAATGCGACACTGATGTGTTATACGTAGTTGATGAGGGCAAAAAATGGGAAACACATATATATATAATAAAATGTATTACCAAAGAAAAATCTAAGAAAATGTTCAATGAATTTGGCCTCCTTCATTCTAATACCCTTAAATTAATCCCAGAGTAAGTGGTTGTCTTCAAATATGACCTACATACTAAACCGAGTGCCTGTGTGAAGGCTTTAGATGATTGATAGAGAAAACTTCCGCCTTACACACCAAGGAAAACAGCAGAGAGGTCAGGGATACACTTGTACAGATTAAAGTAATGTTAAATTATAAAACATTTGCAATCCCAGTCTGGCCAGGCCATTATCTGAACATTTCAAGGGTATGAACTACTGCAAACATCCATCTAAACAGGGCTGGATTTCTCCATTCCCTGCATATTTAATTTGTTTCACTGCCACCAACTCATCTAAAACCTGCTGAAAACCAGACCCTTAAGAACCCAAATGTAAGCCACCTTTGACTTTAGGTTGAATTGGGGAAGCAGTGAAGATCCCTGTGGTAGCACTGGGTGAGCTGCATAGTTTATATTTAGATGGTGTTGTCAGATAAGTGCAAAACTGAACTTTTTGACCTTGAAACAGGCATAAGATGTGACTGAAAAACAACACAATTCCACAGTGACCCCTGAAATGACCAATGTCAATCTATGGGGATGAAGAAAGCTGGACAATTATTTGCAGACAGGAGATAAGAGATTCCAAAGCAATAGATTGGGCAAGAGCATATTGAGGTTTTAGAGTAATTCACATTCCTGGGTTGAATTCCTGACCTATCTGGGTATTTTTAAGAGTAAAATGCTGTTTGGAGGCTGTCCTTTAAATCAGACCTTTCGTGACCTAGTTTTGAAAGAAGGGGAAGCAGGTAGAGACACACTCCTAAATGATAGGTACTTTACCTGAAGCATAAGCTGGTTTAAAAATATCAATGAAGAAGGCTTAAAAGAAAACAAAATATCATTTTTCCCATCTACTTAACAATTATGCCTTGCTTTGTTGGTCTGTCACATGAATTCCATGTAAAAGACATTGTGACTGTAAAATGGGATACAAAACCCTTGCAGAACAGTGTAAAAACAGAGGGTAAAGTGAAGAAATCCCATGTAAACATGGAAGAAAGTATTTTTTATTTTGTTGCAAACCTGGGATTTCTACGCACCCCTTTTAAATGTTTCTGCTAATGAGCACCTGTGTAATTTGTTGTTGGTTTAAGGGGAGGGTTTATTTGTTGCTGTTTTTGTTTACAGCTGAACTAGTTTTTCTGCAAGCTTGTGGGTCCAAGGACAGCGTTAGTGAAAGGATGACAAGCACGAAGAGGAAGGCAGAGAACCTCCTGAGGGCAGCAAACCAACCTTGCATCATGAAGTGCAGAGGCTCCCAGGCGGATTCAGAAAGAGACTCTGGATTCTCAGGTTAGGCGTGACCCGTGGCGCACATTGAAGAAGAGCGTATCAGTGTTAAATGGCTGTTAACCTTTCTGTCTATCCTACAGATGCCAGCTCAGAGCATCTGAGCACAATGGACACCACGGACTCTGAAGATTCCCCCCACCCTGTTAAACAGCAGGGGGCACAGGGTGCTGGTTCAGGCCAGAAGCCCTCTCAGCTGTCTGTGGTTGGGGGCTCCTATTCCGGACTCTCTCCTATGATCATAATGAACAATGTTGTGCTGAAGCAGGTAAGATGATGAAACTTACCCTGTGAATTTGTGCAATATTTAGTGTTCTTAAAGATACCTGTTAGAGAAACATGCTTTTTTATTATTATTATTTTGCTGTTTTACTGCCAGAGATAATCGTCCTATTTGGATCATGTTTGAATCGATTTATCAACAACAATACTCAATTCCCCTTGGTAGACAATAAAGATGAGCAGTATCTAGAAAAAATTAGATTTTTGTGCTGATTAGATATTCTGATGATAATAATTAATGTCTAGATGAATACCTCAGGAAATTTAGAGGTGAAGAAACTGAGGATTAGTTTAAGTTATTAGGGGAATTTTTTTGGACCGCTATCCTAGATGAGTTGCTTGTCTTAAAAGACCATCAGCTTAAATTTTCATTTGATGAATTAGGAAGTAAATGAGTGAAAACAAATCAATTTGTAAAACGGTCCGTCTTATTCTATTGCAGCCTGTAGAGAACCCTCCTGCTCTGAAGCCCTGGGGGTTCAGTCCCACGGTGGAGGTGGTGCAGCCAGTGGTCCCACAGCCTCAAGTGGTCTTTCTCCAGCCTGTGGTCTCCCGTCAAGGGTCATCAACCTCCAAAGAGGCCACCTCTAAACACAGACGCTCCAAAAAGTATCTTCCAATCTTGAAGTCCTACCCAAAGATTGCCCCACATCCCGGGGACAGTGTTGGTTCTTCAGGCAGAGGAAGTGCTTCTTCGTCTTCCTCCTCTTCATCAGGATCGGAGAAATGTAACTCTTTGATCTCCAGTCTTTGGGATCAACGGCAGAGGCAGAAAGTGGAGAAATCTCTGTGCAGTAGCAGCAATAACTCTGAAGCTGCGTCTCCTAGTCTTCCTGGTACCCCCAGCCCCATGTCACCCCTTCTCCATAGCAGACTTCCACTCCCTGCAGCAGAAAACAGCAGCACTGTCAGCCCTGCCAAGGGCAAGTCAGCGATCTGCAGTCAGTCCAAAAACCAGACTCTCGCCTTGGACAGCATCTCCTCTCTAGAAGGCTACTCAAGTGACGGCAGTTCTGACACAAAGAGGAAGCGCTTTTGCAACACGTACAACATCCTGAGCAAGTCTGGCCTGCTGGACATCACACTCCGCACCAAGGAGCTCCTCAGGCAGAACCAAAGCACTCAAAATGAGCTGGACCAACTGAAGAAACACACAGACTTATTCCTCCAGGCTCTTCAGACCGGAGACACCAGTGTTTGTATGAAACTGCTGAGCCACCTACAGGAGGAGGACAGGGAGAGGGCTGCTCAGGGCAGCCTGAAAGCACTTCAGACCTAGACTGGTGTGTGGCTGTAATCCATTAGACCCACAGGATGATCGGGATGGGGGTAGGTGTGTGTAGAGGCAGATGGACTGAAAGTAATGGGCTCTACATTACTGACCCCTCCCCCAGACTCTCAGACAGACAGCACACTGTGGCCTACATTTTAGCAGTCATTTGCCTTTGGTCCCTTCCTGACACTCCAAGCTGACCTAAAAACATCAACCTTCTTGTTGCACTCTAGTCATACAATGCTCTTTCTAAACACTGTAAATGGATCATTGTTTACCATGAAATGGAAGAGAGTAGCTGAAATTGACCTAGAACCTACCTAGGCCATTAAGGGAAAAACATTCTGGCTCCTGCAGTGAAAACGCACCTTTAGAGGCAAAATTAGGCCAGATATCCAATTCTAAGTGGAAAACAGAATAATTTAATCTTAATGTGTGCCTGCTAGACTGACAGCAGGCCATCCGGTTGGATCGTTTTGGTTTTCCACGCATTGTTCCTTTGGTATGTTTTACAGACGGTTTAACATGCGATTCATTCCAAAGCTGTAAAAATGGTTGGATTATAGAGACGACATCATGCCATGTTAAAAAACATTCAGAGCATATGTCTATTTTTCATGGGTTTGTATTTGCAGGATGTATTTGGTTCATATTTAGTTGTTTTTGAATTTGTTCTCTCAGGTTATTTGTTGATACTCATTTTCATACTGGCTGGAAAGAAAAGCCCCTATCAACCAATCAGACGACGCCCTGATACAAGTTCTCTCTGAATAGGGCTTCTAGGAGTGAAAGAATGATTAGTGGTCAACTCTGAATGTTTTCTTGCCCTTTGTCAGCGTTGTTGTTTTGAACTGTGCAGGTAAAATGGAAGTTGTCTGCTTTTACTTGCAAAGGTTTTCTCGTGCATTTTTATTTGTATTTGTCAAATGTCTGTATTGAAATGTTTTTTATATTAAGGCAGCTACTGATAATAAAAAAACAGTAGTTCTAGAGTCTCTTAAATCCAGTTTTTTTATGCTTAAAATTTGGATATTTTTTGTTTATTCATAGATCATGGCCTTAAAACTCTAAGTATGTTCATGCTAAATAAAAAAAATTGCACTAAAATCTAAAAAAAAAAAAAAAACTTTATTTGCGTCAGATTTTTTTGGCAGCTGTGGTACTGTAGTAGCTTTTTCAAGATGGCTATAATGTCATTTTTTTTTAACACTGGTTGAATCACTAGACACGTATATATTAAAATCACGCACCCACTGCAGCCTAAACACATAGGTGACTTATTTTTAATGATATTGTGATCAAATCTTTTACATGTTCTAGCCGATGGCTCCTCATTTGCTGTAAGGATTTCTGAAACAAGCTGTGGTTAAAATAGTCCAAACGTAACATCGCCTGAAAAGGCTTTCTGTAAAAAGGAAGATCCTCTTTAATGAGGAGTGTGGAAAAAATAATTTCTCAGACATAAATGTAAATTTTCATGTAAATTACATTTTGGTTCATGTTATCAGAGGTTTTTCTAATGGTTATTTTCTAATTTATTCTATAGACATGTCAGCTGTGTACTCCACAGTAAATGTATGAGACACAGTTCACTGTTTCTAAATAAATATGATGAAATTGATCACTTGTTACCATTTCAGTCGAAAAAAAAATATTGAGCAAACGGGTACTTTGCTGTCAGGTCATTATCCATTCCCTACATTGTCTCTCACTGCACCATATCTACCAATAGCAGACCAGTTTCGCATACACTGTATATCTAATGTGTTATTATTATTATTATTTTTTTTGGGCTGTCCCAAAGTTAAAACTCCTAATAAACAATAATTTCTTGATAAGCTGATATCATTTGAATCTTCTGAGTTAAAGGGTTTTAAATAGCCTTTTAATTTTCCTTTAATTCAATTGATTCTGATTTCCTTTTTAAATGCACTCTTGCAGCCGGGCAGCTCCAGAGTTGTTTGACTTCTCTGTGAGAAAGTTTGAGGAACTCCCTCAACATTTGAAAGTCCTGTATGAGGCAACAGCTTAGCCTTCAAATTGTTTCCTGTTATTGATTTAAATCTATCACAAAATAATTTTTTTGTTTTATGTAATAGATGATTAAGGCCTTAAGAAATTCAAGAAAGAATCGTAAACCTACAAAAATAAAATTTTTAAGCCTAGAAAATTAGTCTGAAATATTTTACCCCAAAGCACATGAAAAGGTTTAATTTACTAAAATGTTAAAAAAAAAAAAATAGCCTGATAACCTGGGTGTAGTCTTTTTGTAGTGTTGGGATAAATGTGCAGCAGAAAAACTAACACAGAATTTAAAAGACCATCGTATATATATTTAAAAATGAACCCAGTCATGTTGGGTAAAATTTCAAAATGTTGACACTTATAGTATAGGTCTGTAAATTGTCAGCTTTGAGCTCTGATTTTCTGTTTTTAAGATGAAGATTGGGTTTGTTCTTTACAGTCTGCTGTATATATTGTAAGCTATAATATTGTTTAAAAGGTGTAAAGTAACTATGATGAATGCATCTAAAAGTCATGTTGACTTCCAAGCAATAATTTTTTTTTTTTTATCTTTAGTTGGCGACTAGAAGAGACTTAAATATAAATGGTTTTGTAATGTGAACACAGTCCAACAAGGCTGTGTTACGATTTAAAATACTTTCAGGTCATTTTATATGATTTAAGGTTGAGATGTAATTTTATGTGTAATAAATATGATTTTAAAAAGCTTTTCTTGTGTCTGATGTCCCATGTCCTAATATTTATAAATCCTATTTTGTATATCCTAATATTTGACTCCATATATAAGTCATACTTTAAATAAATAAAAAAGTCAATTAAATATTTATCAAGCTTAAAAAAGCCAAATAATATTTTTAAGGCTAAAAAAGGGAACCTTTTCTCTGACCTTCATTTAGTTCACGCATCTGACCTCTAGATGGCGACGTTGAGACGCAGCAGCTTTGCGCGGATGATTGGAAGCTTTGAGCCTCTGGAGCCTCCGTAGATCAAAGCTGCCCTCTGTTTTGAGAAAATTGTACTGCTAATTGGCTTTAGCTGACTGTGTCGCTGTTAGAGCCCCGCTGTAATGAGAAGTCATTAGTTTTCTGACACTGAAGAGTTGAAAGAGGCAAACAGCCCGTCGGTGGCCAGGCGGCTATATTCTAAACACATAGCCCCGGGTAGCTAGTTTTCTGCTGCTAGTCAAGCTAACAAGGTAACCTGTCATTTTTATCCAGCGGGGGGAAAAAAACCTGCATCCTCTCTTCCGTGTGTGCTTCCGCCATCAGTATTTATTTAGTTTCTGTTCAGCTTTAGGTGAATGACGCTCAATGATCCAGTCCGGGTGATGGCTTTGACTCAGAGATGACCTACAGCTTCTGACCCACAGGAAGTCTCGCCATTTGTCACCGAGATTCAAGGCATGTTCTGCTGCTCTCATCTCACATGTGCAGTTAACGGTGATGTGCACAGATTGGTGACTGTTGTGTTTGTGTTGAGCAGCTGAGAGCTTCACACAGGCTGACTCATGCTTTCTGATGAGCTGGACTCCAAACCAGAGGTAACACTTTTTAGTGATATAACAGCCAGGCTTGAAGCTTTGCATTGCTATACTATGGTTGTAATGATAATGCTTGCTGTTTTTTCCCCCTTGTTAGCTGCTGGTGCAGTTTGTCCAGAACGCCTCCATCCCATTGGTGCAAAGTCTGGAGGACTCTGAATGCAAACACCCCTGCCTGCCTCTGCTGGCCCCAGCTGACAGCTCCCTCTGCACCCCTCTGGAGCTCACAGGTAGGTTGGTGCAGTTTCACAGCTTCCTCTTACTGATGGACACAATGGCGTAACTATCGGTAAGGGGAGACTGCTGTTGCTTAGGGGCCCAGATGTCCCAGAAGCTACAGCCTGGGGGAACATGCAGGAATTCGAAGCCAGGTAAACAAATCAGAAAAGGAACAGGCAGGCTTAGAGATCCAGGAGTCTAAAGACGGTTCAGGCAAACCATTCGGACAGGAACAGGCAGACTCAGTGGTTGAGAGGCAGAACAGGTCAGGATAAGGAAATCAGAAACACCAAGGAACTTTAAAAAGTTCATTGAACTGGTGAATGAAATGATTAATTAAGCATGTCATCAGCGCAAAGATCATAACAGCATCAAATTTAAAGTGTGTGCTTTAACTATGCCATCTATAAACATTTCATATCATTTGTTGAACTACTCAGAGCCTTTTGGATTGCTGTCATTCAGCATAACCCAAACTTGCTCAGATTTAAAGACACAAACTGCTAGACTATTTTTCTCCATCAGGACTTTTCATGTTAATCTTAAGGGCCACCTGGTTGTCCCTCTATGCAATAGTGGACTAGGACGTCTCTGGAGATGTAATGGTGCGAAAATTTCCTCTTAAACCCACCTGATGATTGATTGGACCTTATTTATACCGCAACACATGTCAGATTTCAACTTGATGGTGAGTCATTTAAACGCGACACAGTGGTACTTTTAATTACTATGTTAATAACTGTGTATAGTTAATTAGACGGTGGGTAAAAAAATACACTCATATAATATGTTTCAAACCGCAATAAAGATCTTAAAAGAACAATTTATTCGAGTATTTTATTTTTACAATGTGACTTGGAATTATGGGTAATCCAAAGCGTAGATTAAAACCATAACCGTTATGTGTTAGCGACGATGGATGCCAAAAAGAGGTACTTAAGCGGATTCCAGGAAAGAAAAAGTAAGGAAGAGCTGCTGGAAGAACGGAAAAAAACTCCCCAAAATAATGAGTGAGTGAAGACTGAAGGAGATGAAAGGAGAGAGGCGTAGGTGAGGAGGGGGGCTGTGAAACTCAAGGTAGCCCGATGAGTTGTGTCCTTACGCCATTGGATGGACATGTTTTCAAATATGAGAGAATCACTGTGATGCACGATATTAACAGTTTCAACCGAAAAGGCTGGTTTTCGAGCGATATAAATTTCATCACTTTGTCTTTAATAGCTTTAGCTTTTTCACTGTCTGTAGAAAAGTTTTTACAGCTTTCAAAAGCCTTGTGAATGGAGACATCTGTCCTCCACATTGTTGCTTTGTATTCTTCCCATATTGCTTTACCACAATGACAATTTTTAAGGTGAGCTATTCATTTTATTGTGTTAAAACCTGAAGCCTTCTTTCCTCACTCAGAATTCTTGCTGAACAGTTTGGAAACAGAGTAAAAAAACCACACTAGTTCATTAACAGTCAGGTAATGAAGGAGCCACGCTTGGGTCCTGCTAGTAAGGTGCATAAGACCCGCTTTGGGGCTGCTCTGCCTGTATAAAACTACACCAAATTTAATTGATTTATCTGCAATTTTGAATGGAAAAATGTGCGTATCGGGTCGTTTAAAATTCAGCCAAATCGGCCGATATTTTATGGGTCTGATCAATCTTTTTAATCCCTAATTGTTTTCCATGAATCACAGTTATTTTAGCTATAAAATACCCCACTGTACACCTGAAACTTTTTTTTTTTTACAGTCTCATGTGTCCAGTGAGAAGATAAATGCAGATTGTTGAAATTGTAAATGCACATTTATGTTGCGTTTGCACAACTGTACAAAAAAATAATCTGCAGACTTAAACATTATTAGAAGGTTAGTGTTAGAAGGTAGCAATATATTCACCAACAAAAAATGAGACCTAAAGATAAGAGATTCATTAAAGTTTCCTTATCTTTCTGGGATGTTAATGGTGGAAAAATAAAGAAAGATTATAACAAGATAATCTACATTTGCTGGAATATAAAATGCTTATATTTCTGCTCCATTTCAAATTACGTCACCGAACGTCACCGATTCTTCTCTATTTTCTCATATACACATAACTTGCTATTCAGTCATAGAACTTTTATTTTCAATCTGTTTTGAATCCAACATGTGTATAAAGGCCTTTGGGGGGAGTTAAAACTTAGCTACTGTTCTGGATCGTTGTTGTATCGTCACTATCATAGATTTCTGCCGTTACTTCTGAGAAAAAGTTACTGAGTTGATGCTTTAGAGAATCGCAGTCAAGCTGGAGAGCATTTTCCTTAATTTCAGGTGCAGCGGAGCATCGCTGCACTAGTGATGTGGTCTGAGAGTGTTAGAAAAAATGGTAAATGTGCCTTTTTGTCATGTCTGTTTTTAGGGGTTAGGAGTTGGTTTACATTTCAGTTTATTCAGTAAGAGGATCTGCTCTTTGTCTGCATCCCTGCAGCGGCAACATATTGCTCACCCTCCCATCCTTTTCATCAGGGCCATCTAGTGCCGGTCTAATGAGCTCCTACTGAGAGAAGCACCGTCTTTTTTTGCTTAAAATGTAATTGTGGAAATTCCTTTAAGCTTTTTAAAGCAATAAATATTTTATTTTTATCAGGGCGTGACCTTCTCATATGGGTTATAGTATACCTGTATTATACATGCAGGTAAAGCGAAGGTTTAACGTTATTCTACTTTCAGATCTGTAATCTAGAAGAGGTGCAATCTTCCTGGGTTTGTTATTTCATAAATCTGTCTGGCTTTTAAATGTCTTAGCAGGCTAATCCCAGAGGTGTTTTAGTCTAATATTTAATGTTTGCGCGTTTAGCAGACGCTTTTATCCAAAGCGACTTACAAAGTAGACACAGTTTTATAGTTCTCATCAAATGACAATAAGTTCTCTAGAGGGAAGCCCCTAGTCAGAATGAGCGCTGACAGCAGAGAGATAGAAGAAAGTGGAGGGGTAAAAGTTATGGGTAAAAGTTAGGATAGGAGATGCTCTTTGAAGAGGTGGGTTTTTACGTGTTTCATAAAGATAGAAAGGGATGCTGCTGTTTTTGTAGCGATTGGTAGGTCATTCCACCATCTTGGAACACATGAAAACAGTCTGGATTGTCTTAAGCATGGTGCAGGCACTGCTAGGTAACAATCCATTGCTGACCAAGTTGTGACATTAGCCTTTGCTAGAGGGTTCAAGTAGATAGGAGCCGTACCCTTAAGCACTTTGCAGGCTAGCATCAGGGACTTGGATCTGATGCTGGCAGCCAGGGGTAACCATTGAAGCTCAATGAACAGAGGGGTGATGTGAGACTTTTTGGACTGATTGAAGACCAGACGCACCGCTGCGTTCTGGATTATTTGTAACGGTGTATTATTTAGGCAGGATTGGGATGAGTCTTTAATAAAGATGACATACAGATACACACACACACACACACACTGTGTCTGCTAGAGTAAAATGTGTCGTTTCATTCCGCCACAGAAAACAGCAAAGCAAGCACATCAATCAAGGCACGGTGCTGAATACAAATTATATTGTTACCCTTACGGTGACACAAAGGATCGGAGAGCCAGTCGACCCCAGCAGGGCAGCAACCCGCGCAGCTAGGCGTTCGTACGCAACCCTAGCAGACTCTACCAGTGCCAACTGCCACCCGTCATTTATGCCAAACTTCAAAGGAAAGTCTGTCACCCAATCAGGAAAATGATCGCTCCCTCTCACGCCTGGAGCACATGATTACAAAAACCAAAATATGTTTCCGGCATCCCCTGAACCCACCCAGGGCTCGTGGACAGCCGAAGCCAAAAACAAGTTACGTTATGCTCAGAGCATGGCACCAAGAGCTCGTGAGTACAAAAACAAATTATATCATGCTCTCAATTACACAGAAACTTAGATAATGAGAGTGCTTAGGTAATAGGAGTGCTTCATTTGTGAAAACTTGTATAATA